ACAAGAAGGGCCGAGGTCACGGCCTCCAGGACCTGTCCCGCAGTGGCTGGTCTGGTTGTCCGCGACCCCCATGTGTTAGTGCTGGACTGCGGGGGAGGGAGGAGCCAAGGGCAGCCAGAATCCTCGACCGGGCAGGGGCCCCCAATCTAAGCACCCGTCCTCCGGCCCTACCGCTCCCCTGCCTGGAGTCCGGGGCCTCCTTTCCCTGCTGTCTGAACTGTGGGGGCAGGGTGTGGAGGTGCGGGGTGGCCCCGCACCCCTACTCCGACGCAGAACAGCTGCTGGCCACAGGCCCTCTGCCAGCGCCCCCTCCTCAGCTCCCTGCAGGCAGAGCTGGCCAGTGTCGGCAGCGGGGAGGGGGGCTCTGCTCGGCCAGGCCAGGGTCAGCGAGAGTGGGCTGCGCCTTGGAGTGCGTCCGTGAGGGGTGGCTGCCCGGGGGCCTTCCGCGAGGCGGACACAGCTGAGGCTGCCGGAGGGGGAGGGGCCAGGGGTCTCTGTGGCGGAGGCAGAGCCACTCGGGCCCTGACAGTAACATCAGGGTCCTGGGTGGCCTGGAGGTGGCTGCAAAGACCGAGCAGATGGCGCGGGGCAGGGGGGGAGCGCTCTGCTGGGGGGGGTGCCCTGGCCTGGGGAGGCTGGCAGTGGGAAGAGCGGCAGGTTCGGTGGGAGGTGAGGTCCCGGGCTGGGGTGTGACGGGACCCCGATGTGCCCCGGGACCTGCCTTCCCTTTGCCGCCTGACACCGGGTGGCCGCTTCTGCCTCCTCCTCTGAAAACAGGGTGAGTGACAGCCCAGGATAAGCTGTGGGGACAGTGGGGACACAAAGCAGGTGCTCCGTCAAAGCCATCAGTTCCCATTTGGGAGCCGGAGGTGGGCTGAGCGATTGGCACTGGGGAAACCGAGGCTGGCGAGTGGCCGGCGGCACAGGAGTCTCAGCCCAGCCCGGACCAGCGAGTGTCCCAGTTTGTCCCGGTGTGGCGATGGCAAACCCCTGGGGCTTTGTCATTGTTTCCCCCACCCCCTCCCTCCCACTGAGGGAAAAAAGATCATCCTGAGCTGGCTCTTCTTCACCGGCTGGACCCTGGGCTCCCTGAGGGTGGGGACATTTTTGTCTCTTCAGGGGTCCCCAGGCCCAGCATGAGGGGTTGGCCTGGGGGCGGCCAGTGTGGGCAGATGGACGCAGGGCTGTGCGCACAGAGCGCCCCCCCAGCCGCCTCCCCCGCCAGCCCAGCCGTCTCCTCACTCCCGGTTTTTCATTAAAACAGCAGCAGGCTCTCGGCCGCCCAAGGTCACGGTGGGGCTGCGAGGGGAGCTGAATGTGGGCCATTACCCTGTCTCTAATGTCCCTGCGGCCGCGGCCAGTGCTGACACAATCAAGCACTGGGACACCTCAATTTCTGCCTGTCCCGCGGCGACCGTATTAGGGCCTGAGTGATCTCCTCCGGAGGCCGCAGAGGGTGAGGGGGCGGCCAGCCCAGCCGCCGGGCGGCCCTGAGCCTGCCGTCTCTCCCTCGGGAACAAAGGGACGCAGGACGTGGCTGAGAAATGGCCGCACGGCGTCTCCGGGTCCCTCCCTCTCGGAGTTCGAGCCGAGTTCACCACTGCGGGAAATGCGGTCCGCTCTCTTCCAACCGGGAGGGCTGGGGCTGGGCAAGGCGGCTCGGCCCCTGGGTGTCCTCCGCACCGGGCAGTGAAGGGGGTGAGGTGGCGCACAGGGGGTCCCAGCCCCCTCAGGCCCCCTCTGGTCCCCAGGTCCTGTCACTCAGGTCATGAGAGGCCGTGAGTCCAGGGTCTGGCTGCAGCCCACAGCAGTCCTGACCTCTCAGGGCGGGGCCCTCAGGGACGTGGGTGTGGGCTGTTGAGGGACATGTGGGTGTCTGCAAAGGTGGGGTCCAATGGCGGTATGTCCCCGAGGCCCCCTGCCTCCTGGCCCCTCCCGCGACTGTGCAGATGACCCATTTGGACGGGACTCAGTATGGAGCTGGGGGCCGGGCAGCCTGTTCTGGCTGAGAAACCAGATTTTAGAACTTGGCTGAGCAAACGCTGGGAATGGACCAGTGCCCTTCAGCCAGGACGGCCGGCAGCCCGAGGCCCGTGTCTGCGTGGGGTACGGCTCGGCCGCAAAAAGGCCCGGCGCCACGGGCGAGCCTGGAGTGGCTGCTCTGGCTCCAAGGCCACCGTGCGTGGCCCCGCTGACGTGGCGGGGCCATGGGCACAGAGAGGGCCGGTGGGGGCCTGGGCTGGAGCTGCCCGCCAAGGCCCACTCTGGGGTTCGGGGGTGGGGCTGTGAGCCGTCTCTCAGTTATGGCAATAGTGACATGCCCCTTGGGACTGTGCTTCTGGGAAGAACGGCGAACCTCATCACCGCACGTAGGTTACGCCACAACGGAGCACCGAAGCGGGTCCTCCCCCTTGCACCGGACACCCGGTCAGAGCCAGAGCCGGCCCGAGAACTTGCGTTGCCCTTCCCTCTGGCTGCAAGCTGGGAAGGGCCCCAGGGAGGGGTCCCTGCCCTGGCCTGGCCACCTCGGAAGGGGGCAGGAATGGGGTCCTCAGGGCCCCGGCCCCTGGCCTGGCTCCTGGCTCCGAGGGGGGACTGGAGGCAGGTTCTGCTGGGGACGTGCCTCCCCCCTGCGTGGACAGCAGCCTGGGACGTGTCACCAGCCCTGGAAACCCTCCTCTGCGGGCAGGCGGGCGGACCAAGCTGGTCTCGGGGCACACGGCTCCTCGGCCCCCTCCCCGTCCCTGCAGCCAGAGGGCCGGGCGAGGAAGGGCAAGGCAAGCTCCCCCAAAGGGACAGAGGGGGTGGGGGGCAGGGCAGGAGGGCCGTCCCTTGTTCCCCGCCAGTCGGCCACCCTCGTCCCAACTCCCCCAGCTCCCTGCCTCCTCGGGGCCTGCGCGGCCCCTCCATCTGTCCCCCCTACTGACAGCCACAGCTGGAACTCTTTGCTGGTGGGGACTGCGCCCCCTGCCCGGGAACCAGGCTCCTCCCAACAGGCAGCGGCCTGCACCGGTCCCGCACCCTCCACGCCGCACCATCCTGCTGGCCACTCCCGACCAGCCACCTGCAGCTGCGTTCCCCCCAAACCCCGGGCCTGGGGAGCCCCCACCTCTGGGGAACAGGGGTCCCACACGCTGCGGGCCCCCAGGATGTTCATTCCTAGGATGCTCATTCCCCACACAGTGGGGACCCTGGGGGTGGGCCTAGGCCGAGGCCCGGGGAGGCCGAGGGTGGGGCTGGGGCCGAGGAGCCCGCAGGTGTCCGCGTCCGGGTGCCGGCTGTGGGGGCGTCGGGGGCCGCTGAGGCCCGGCCGGGGCTGGAGCGCCGGTCTGTGCAGCCCAGAGGTCTCCATTGTGGCCGCACAGGGGACTCTCATCGGCCCCTGCCCAGGCGCCCCCGAGACCAGGAGGGTCAGCGTCTGGCGGGGGCCTAGGCCCCAGCGTGTGGTGCCATCGCCGGGATTCGGGCGCAGCCGGCTGCCCGCTTGGCCCGTGCTGCCCCTCTCCTCCCTGAAATGCCTCTCCCTCATCTCGCTCACGATTTAAGAACAGTCCACCCGATGGCCTGACCATCTGAAGGGGGGTTCGAGGAAAATTGCTGATGGCAAGGGGACTGGGTTCGGGTGCCAGACTGTCCCCCGTGGAAGCCATGGGGAGCCTTGCCCCGGTTCCTAGAATTGCCAGGCCGGCCACAGTGGGGACACGGGCAGCTCAGGTGAGGTGCGGGCCTCCCGCACCGGCAGGGCGTGTCTGCCTGCGACGTGGCTTCTCCGGACCACAGGGCTCCACGCAGAGCAGAGCCAGGGGTCCGGCGGCCGTCCTACAGGCACAGAGCCCCTGGGTCTGTGGGCTTCCAGCTCGGGCCAGCGGCCTCCGCCCAGCCAGAGGTCCGGGGCAATAGGAGGGATTTGGCAAGACTCGCGGTCTTGGTGTTGGCTGGCCGGTCTGCACTGCAGAAGTGCCTGTGTGCTGATTGCCAAGGTCGCTGCCCCTGCCACGGGGCGCCCCAAATAGCCCCCCTGAGTTTCCAAATGCTCCTCTGCAGGTGAAACTACCTGGCTTTTAACTGTCACGATGTAACCCAGTGACAACAAATTCTCTGGGGGACAGAAGGAGGATGTCCTCACTTGCTGGGGGCCTGGCTGGTCACCAGAGTGACCAGCAGAGTGTCCAGAGGCCCAGAGAGCGGGTGCGGTGGCGCCAGCGTGGCGGCGTGCAGGGGGGCCGGGCCGGGGGTGGGAGAGAGTGAGGCACGGCCCCAGGCTCCGGGAAGCTTCATCACTGAGAGAAATAATGCTTTCGTGCGATATTCTCTTTTTAAAATGTTTATTTATTGACGCTTTGAGGGAGAGAGAGAGAGAGGAACTCTGCTGTTCCGCTCACCGATGCCTCACTGACTTGCTCTTCCTGACTGGGGGTCAAACCCCAGCACATCGGGACGACACTCTCACGGACCGAGCCACCAGCCAGGGCCTCAGGGCAATATTCTTAAACATCAATGTTAACTCGAAACTGCGGCACCGCGGGACCCAGGGGTCCCTGCGACCGACTCCTCCCTTCATCTCAGGCGCCGACGCGGCCGGGCAGGGGGCTGCTGGGCGCTCGGCTGCAAGGGTCAGGGCTCCGCCGGCTCCGCCTGGCCCTGCGGCGCCGCCCAGACCCTCCCCCACCCTTCATGGCGGTGCTGGCCGACAGGGCCAGGTCGGGGGCCTTCCAGGTGGGCCCGGGGGCTTGGTAACTCTGTCCACAGGCCTGGGTGTGGGTGTGTGAATGTTCTTTTTCCAAAAGAGATTTAATTTAATTTTATTTATCCTTAGAGGGGAAGGAAGGGAGAAAGAGAGAGAAACATCAATGTGTGAGAGATACTTTCACTAGTTGCCTCTTTCACGCCCCCTACTGGGGACCTGGCTCACAACCCGGACAGGTGCCCTGACCGGGAATCAAACCGGCCACCCTTCAGTCTGCAGGCCGGCACTGAGCCACGTTAGCCGAGTCTGGGCGTGAAAGTCCTCAAACCTCCCCAGATGTGTGCAGCCTGGAGCCAGGCCCGAGGGGCAGGCAGGGCCCCACCTGGCCGGCGCGCCTGTGTCTGCGGGCATCTGTTGTGTCCATGCGGGCACCGCCGCGGCCGCCGCCCCTTTCCCAGGAGAGAGCAAACGCAGGGCAGGGCACAGTGAGTCACTCTGTGTCCTACACACTCCTTTCAAACCACTGTTACTCTCTGTTGGGGACGTCACTCGGCGTTAGCGGGACCACGCTCGCTTCACAACCGGGGGCCCTGGTGGCCTCGGAGGCCTCACCTGCTGGCACAACATCCCAGGCATGTGTCCTCCACGTGTCCCAGGGCAGCCCCCAGGGCCCACCTTGGCTGCCGGGGAGCTGCAGGCAGAGGGACAAAGTCGCTCTCCTGGGCCCTCGGCGGGGACGGGGAGTCAGAGTGTGGTCCTGGGTCCCCGGTGGCGGCGGCCCCGCCCAGCCGTGCCCTCTCCACCCCTCACCTGATCGCCGCCGAGGGCAGCTTCCCGGCGCGTGCCTGCTTAATCTGTCTGCTGGACCCGCCGCCCGGGTCCTCGCCGGGGTTATTGCATTTCACGCCGAGCGGCTCCATTTGCTGGGGCAGCGGCTCATTTTTCATTTTGCATCTGTGGTAACCAGACTTGAAAATGAAACGCAGTGCGATGCCCCACCGGGATGGAAGAGGGCCAGGCAGGCGCACCTGCGGGTCCGGAAAGCGCCTGTGGGGGCGGGGAGAAGGGGGGGCCGGGCCCCGAGGCTGGGCTGGCGTGGCCTCCAGCCGTGGTTTTCCCCGCTGCAAAGCAGGAGCGCAAGACCCGCCTCGAGGGCTCGGCAGCGCATAGTAGGCATTCGGTCAGGAGAGCCACGATTAGCGCCGTGCTGTGTTCAAACTACAACGCGGGCATTACGAGTCGTGAACCAGGGGAAGTGCTTTATGTTGGGGCTCCCTCAGAAAACATAAATATGGGCGAGAGCCATGAAATGGCCGGCTGGAGAGTGGCTGCCTCTCCGATATTCAATTACCCTTCCCTTTCTGCCTCCCCTCCCTCCCGCCCCTGCAATTGGATTATTGCCGGCCCACAATGCACTTGTGTCAACTCACCGGGGCCTCTCCTGAGGGCGCCCGCCTGCCTGGGAACCAGAGGAGCTGGGCTCACTGCGGGCCGCCCCCTCGGGGGCGGGGTGGTGCCCAGACCCTGGCAGACCCCCCTCCGGTGCTGAGGGTTCTGGGGCAGCCCTCTCCCTGTGGTTCTGTCCGAGGAGCAGAGGGCAGAGCGCGGGGCCGCGGGTCGCAGTGGGGCCCAGGGGGCAGGACCAGGACTCCAGCCCCAGCCCTGAGGTCTGTTTCCAAGACGGTCGGTTGTCATCGGCCTCCCTTGGGGCTCTCTGCCCCGGGGGCGCCTCGGGGGCACACGGGCCCTAAAAGGGCAGAAAATGAACAGGGGTTGAATCCCAGAGCAGATGGACGTGGACGCTGCCAGGGGCTCCGAGAAGGGGCCTCGGTGGCCAGGCGGGGGCTTCTGTGGGTAGGTGATGGGGGCAGTCTCGGGGCTGTCTGTGAGCCAGGGGACGGCGGGTGGTGAGGGGTGCCTGCCCTGGGCGGACAGGCGGACGGGGCCGCCCTGGGGCAGGGGAGGCGGAGCCTGCTGTGGTTCAGCCATTCCTACGGCTTCAACCCAGGCTCCTGGGGTGGGCCCTGCCCTCTGCTCCCGCTGCAAGTGGGACCTGGGTGCCGGGCCCAGTGTGCGGTTCCCACTGGGCACCCTGGGGCTTGGTTCTCACCAGGGACTGGGCATCGGAGTCGGTGACGAGGTTCCCTGGACGGGCCGCAGGCCCACCCCGCACAGTCCAGTGCCTGGACAGACCCTCTCCCAGTGGGCAGGGGCACCCGCCCTTTGCTGAGACCCTGTCTGTGCTCACGGGGCCCCTGTCCCCAGGAGCATTTACGAGTTTGCAGGTTCCTCGACAGGCGTGCCTCACGCCAGTCCGGCGAGGGCGCAGGTCCTGGGCGGCTCCCCCGGGCTGGTCCCAGGCCGACCTGGAGGCCCGGTGGCAGCGCCTGAGCCTGGGGGTCCTGCCGAGCCGGCCCGCAGAGGGGCCCGGCGTCTCTGGCCCTGAGGTCTGTGTCCTCCCCAGGTGGGACGCTCCCTCGTGCAGAGGGCAGAGGTCGGAGTTTATCCTGTTCCCGGTGGGCAAGTGCCCAGGAGGCTGGCCAGGCAGGGGTGGGCGGGTCTGCAGGGGAGCCGGGGATCCCCCTCACTGGTGGCCGTGTGTGGCCGGGGTGGGGGGCAGGTGGCCTTATACCAGAGGCCTGGCTGCCTCAGGGAAGGCAGGACACAGGCACCCACTACCTGGGTTCCCTCTCTGGGGGGGTGGGGTCTCTGCCACGACCCCGGGTTCCCGGCTGCGCACAGCTGGGGCGGGAGCTACTAGGCAGGTGCCTGCAGCTCCCGAGAGCTTGTCCTTCACCCCTAATTCGCCCCCAGAAACAGTCGCCAGCTGCACCCAGTCCTCCCAGCGGCCACCCGAGCCCTCGCTCCCACCGGCCGGTCCCGGCTTGGTGGGCACTGACCGGCCGGGCTCCAAGCTTCCAGGGTCAGACTCGGGGCACCGGCCGCTCGCTGTTCAAGGGCTGGGGGGTGTCTGGGGTCTGGCTCCAGGGGGCGTCCCACACCCGTGTTTGGCAGTATGAATTTCCTTCTCCTCAAAAAACAACTTTCAGCCCTGGCTGCTGTAGCTCAGTAGATTGAGTGCAGGCTGCAAACTGAAGTATCGCCTGTTCGATTCCCAGTCAGGGCACGTGCCTGGGTTGCAGGCCAGGTAGGGTGCGTGCAAGAGACAACCACACATCGATGTTTCTCTCCCACTCTTCCCCTCTCCCTTCTCCATCTCTCTAAAGATAAATGAAATCTTAAAAAAAAGTTTTTTTTCTGGAGGTGAAAGTCACATACCGTGAAGCTGACCAGTTGGAAGTGTGCAAGGCTGCGGCTCCGGTTTTGCGCGGCCAACACCTCCGGCTCCAGAACATCTTCACCCCTTTCCTCCCAGCCCCTGGCGACCACCATCCTGGGCGCCATTTGTCGGGATTCACCAGTCGGGCCTTTCACACCCAGCTGGTCTCACTCACAGGACGTGTGTGAGGTCCACCCGTGTTGTAGCGTGTGTCCGGGCCCGGGCCCTTTTCACTGCTGAAGAACGCCCTGCTGTGTGGACTGGCCGGCCCGTGGGACGGTGCTGCTGTGGCCTCAAGTGACCCCGGGCTCGCCAGTGTCCCAGCTACGATTCTTCAAGTGTGTGCGGGGTCCGGGGGTGACTCTATGTTCACTGTATTTGAGGAACCCGCAAACTCTCCTCGAGTTTCCTGCGTGGGAGAACATGCCTCGAGGAGCAGCTGCGGGCCGGCACCCCGCGCAGACTTAACCTCCGTGGGTTCTCACTGAGGTGGGGGCACCGAGGGGACTCCCACTTGAAGGACGAGAGCACACAGCTTCCCGGAGGTCAGGGGACCCGCCACGTGAGCAGCCAGGGTTCTGCCACCTGGACCCACGTTCTGACTCTGCCCATCCCAGGGGCCTCGGTTGGTCTCCGCCTCCCCCCAGAGGCCCCTGGCAGGGCTGCCCCCTTCTGCTCTGGCCCGTCTGCCTGGGTACAGCACTCCGCTGCCATCCTGGGTCCCGAGGACCAGCTCCTCGTGGGCAGTGACCGCCTTCCTTGTGCCCCCCCACAGACCATGTGCACAGCGGGCGCTTCAGAAATCACCAGGTTGGGGCTCTTAATGGGCTCCACCAGTTTTGGGCTGCCCGCAGGACGTGGCCACTGCCTGGGTAGACCCAAATGTCTCAGTGTTCGCCAGAGGGGCACCGAGCAGAGCCCGCCGTGGCGCCGTGCACAGGCTGTGGGTCGCTGGTCCACGGGGCCCCCTCTGACTTAGAGGAACGCAGTGTGTCTGGCCGGGAGGCCCGCAGCTCTGACCCCTCCCCTGGAAAAACGGATCACTCCCCTCTCTCTCCTGCGGCAGAGCAGATGTTAACTTTCCAATAAACGCAGGGAAAAAAACAGACGAGAGACATTTAGCAAACCATAGCTGAGCGGGCCAGAGTTATCACTCTGATTTCAACGGGGGCCGTAAAAGTTTATGAGCTATTAAATTGTCCTGAAGCTCCTTTAACGTACAAACTCGAGTGTCTGAGATTACCCATTAAGAAAAAGTGGGTTGCAGCGGGAGAACTTTTACTACTGACGTTCAGTGCTGTTCAATCAATAAAACTTTTAACTAGCCGCGCTGCCTTGGGCCGATTCCACGGGTCCCGCCGTGGACCGGCCGGCCGGTCGGCGGTCCTGGACGTGTCCCTGAGCATGGCCGTAGCTGGACTGCAGGTCTCCCCGCCAGGGCAGGTCACCACTGAGCCTTCCAGGACATTCTGCGTCCTGCCTGGTGCTCCGTGATCATGAGCTGGGAGATGGGGCCTGGAGACCAGCAATGTCACCAGGGTGCCCACCAAGGACTGAGACCCCCAGGCAGCCCTGCGGGGGTGGGCGTCCCAGGAACCAGGGAGAGGGAACCCCCCCCCCCCCCCCCCCCCGGTGAGGAGGATGGCGAGGAGCCGTGTTGCACCCGTGTTCTCCCAGCAGCTCTCAGGGTGGTGAAACCTCCCCTCGAAGACAGGAACCAGGGTCTGATGGGGGTCTGGGGGGCCCGGCTGTGGGCATGCAGCTCACCCATGGATGCCAGGCCAATGTCTCCGTACCCCTGCTGTGGGCGGGGCGCCGAGCCCCTGGGTGAGCCAGCGTGGACCTGGGGGACCCTCAGGCGTGGGGGTGCCCTCTTCTGGGGTCAACCTGCAGCTGGGGACCTGTGGGAAGGAGTCATTGAGGCATGGGCAGCTGTCTTGTGTCCCGCAGGGCTGACGGCTACCTGACCCTGTCCACCCGTGGGGCTGGGCAACCCGGCTGGAGGGGGTCCAAGGCTGGAGGTGCTGCCCCGCTGGACAGAGGGGGTGGGCGGGGGAAGCTGGGACTGAGGAGTTAGTGCTAAGAGGATCTGAACTCGGGGCTCTGGGGGCGTCCTGGCTGGGTCCCGTCACCTGCTTGCCCTCAGTGTTCTTGCCGGCGGGGTGGGTGAGGGGGCGAGGGGGCCTCACACCCCCCTGGCACTTTACTCATAGTTGGCGACTTCGCCGGAAAAAAGGAGATTCTCAGGAAAGAGGAGATGTGGGGAAGGACAGCGAGAGGAATGGGCTCGGCTGCACCTCCTGCCTGGGGCTGAGGCCGCGAGTGCCGTGGACAGTGGCCCCACAGCCCGGCAGCCTGGGCGTGGCAGGGAGGTGAGGCCCACCCACCGTGGCCAGACCAGGGCCACAGAGTCCAGGGGTCCTGCTGGCTCCAGGGGACCGCTCGTGGCCGCAGCTGCATTTGCCGGGGCAGGTGGCTGCTTGTCTACTCCACCAGGGCTGGCGGGGTTGTGCAAGGGTGGGGGAGCTCCCCCCCACCCCCCGAGGTGCAGGCCAGTGCTGTGCTCCTGGGCCGTGGGGCTTCCCTGCGTCCCAGGGCCGGGCTGGCGGTGATGCACCATGGACGTTCTGGGAGGAGAGTGGCGCCTTGGCCACTGCAGCACCCGAGGTCCCGTCCTGCTTCACCTGTCCTGCCACAAGGGACGGGGCATGGGGTCTGGGCACACCTGGCCTGTCCACCCTGACTCGCTGCCTCTGTCCTCCTCAAACCGCGGGCGCTCAGGGGGCTGGGAGGCCTACCCCCACACCCCCGAGTCCATCTGGAGGGCTGGCGCCGGAGCCGGCCGCTTGCGACAGACCGGTTGGGCAATCCCGCCGGCTCGGCTCTGCAGGGAGCTCGGTCTCCCCCCGGCAGCGCCTGCCGGGCGCGGGCACGTTCCCATCAGTGTTTATGTGGTTGGCTCGAGTCTCTCTGGAGCCTGCGCCTGTCCCCGGCGGGGGTCCCAGGGAGACAGTCCTCCCAGGCCCCAGCCACGGCGGTGCCTCCGTGGGGGAAGAGGCCCCGGGTCGGGAGCTTCCGGGGGAGGCCCTGGCGGGAGGGGCTCTTCACATGGGGTTTGGGGGTGGTGTCTGGGCGCAGAGCGGGCAGGAGAGCCAGGCCTGCGGTTCGGGAGTGTGCTCGCCAGACCCCAATTAGCCTGGTATGCGGAGGCCGGTGGCCTTCCTGCCTCCTGGTGACGGGGCCCAGGGCCTGCGCCTGCCCGCCCCTCCCGTGGGACCTGCCTCTGACCCCTGCAGTCCCACGACCAGGATGCTTCAGGGGTCAGAGGGCTCTCAGCCTCCCTCTGTCAGCCGGGTCCGGAACGAGGGGGGCCTAGGAAGGAGGGGAGCAGGGGCGGTGCCACGGACGGCTTCACGGCGGACGAGCCAGGCAGCAGGTCCCCCGTGACGTCTGGGTCCTTTTCCGTCCCCGCAGCCCGTGCCCTCGGCGAAGCGGTGACGTGCGGGAGCCCGGTCCACACAGTGGTCGGTTTGCAGGGAAAAGCGCCTGGTGATGCCCTTGCCGGCCACTTTCACCCTGGTCAGCGGTGGAGCTGGACACCCCGAGGCCCCTGGGGAGAGGGTGGGGGCAGGGGTGGCCTTGATTCTGGGGGTTGAGTTGGGACAGGGGAGAAGGCGCTGGCTGGCTGGGGACACGTGATGGTGGGAACGTCTCTGCCGGGGCCGTGGGACGCCAAGGAGGGCCTGTGGGCAGGGGACTGGGGTGGGCGGCGTCAGGAGGGAGTCCCCGCTGGCAAGAGCGAGTGAGGGACTCGGGCTCGGCCCGTGGAGCCGCCCCCCACCTTGGACACTGCAGCCCTGAGATCTGAGGGACAGGTGGGACAGGGAGAGGGTCGGGTGGCCCCGGGCTTCCAGAAGCGGCTCCTGGAACCCCAGATCCGTGGGATCTTTGCAGGGTCCCCGAAGAAAGGGCTCTGGCGCGAAGGGGTCCGGGAACCCCGGTCCGGTCACACGGCGTCTCGCCTTGAGCGGGCTGGGCTCATGACCCCAAGGCCGAGGGAGCCTGCTCCCCAGACTCCGACCTGTGGGGACCCCAGCGGGTCAGAGCCCAGCGGGCCCCTTGGGCAACGCTGACGATGCCACCTGTGCAAGCAGAGCAGGGAGGGACGGTCCCAGGGCCACGGGGGTGGGACCCTCATGTCCCTTCCTGAGTCCCTTGGACACACGTACCTGGTCGAACCCTCACGGCGCCCGTGGGGCCAGGGCTGCAGGGCGCAGAGAGGACGCTGAGGCTTGGGGACGTGTGGCCTCCCCATGGCATCTCGGGATGTCCCAGGCCGGGGCTGTCGGGGGGGCAAGGCCTTACCCCTTCCCTCCCTCGGTGGGACAGTGCTTGGTGCCTTTGTCACTCTCCTGGGACTGGAGGGCATACCAGGTGTCAGCAGGCCTCCCCAGGCCAGGGCCGGCGCTGGCCACTGGGGAGGCTGTCCCAGCTGTGCTCCTTCCTCCAGCCCCAGGGCTGCAGGCCTAGGGGCAGCTCAGACCTGTCATCCGCCCGCCTCCCCGTCCCCGGCCTCTGCCATTTGCCACCTTCTGCTCTCCCGGGCGGGGCTGTTGGCCCAGAAACTGTCGAGCCTCCGCTGTCCCCGGGCACTTCACAAAGTGGGTTCCCTCCGCCTGCGGTTTCTGAGTGGGTTTGGCTCGCAGGCACGAGAGGCACAGCCCTGCCGGGAGCCCCCTCCAGCAGCGGGGAGCCCGAGGGGTGGACGGCCTGGCAGGCCTGCCATTGGCTGCTGGCCGCTGCCCGCTCTCGTCCCTGCCATTCCTCCTGCCACCCATGTCCCAGATGGGCCTCCCGGCCGGGGCGTGTGTGTGGCCACAGCGGGGCAGGAGCCTGTGCCCGGCCTCCCGGGGCCGCCCTGGGGGATCGGGCAGCAGTTCAGGGAACCGGCCTCCGGGCCGCCCGGCTCCCCAGTGGCACAGAGGCCGTGTTTGTGTCACCTGGAGGGCGGCAGCCGTGGGGACAAGCCTTATCCAAGCAGGCTGACTGGGGACCCCAGGGCAGCCAGGAGGGCTGTAGCGAGGGGCCCGGGGAACAGGGGACCTGGAGGGACGCCCCTCACCTG